CATACTCTAGATCCTGTCTGTACTGCTGTTTCTGCCTTCTGCCTTTTCTTAAACCCTAGACCCTAGTCTATTCGGGTCGTCTGTTACGCGCAGATTRTAGCTTTTTCTATTARATCAGTAAGGTTTCTAGAGGGTTTTGCCCTTTTTTGCCTATTCTTATGGATTTACCCATAAGTAGGGAGAGTTGACCTTTCCCTTTGTTCTCATTGCTGTTGTTCTCCAGATTGACTTCCCTTGTTCATGGTGAGGCCWGTTGCTGTGTCTGTCCCTGATGTCCGTTTGCCATGTCTTGTTGGTCCTCTCTGAACCAGTGGAAGATCAGCCTGTGCCCTTCTATTGAAGCCACTTTACCTTTGGCCAATACCCTGTTCTGAAATTTTGTGACAATATCCCTAGCCTTTTCGGGGTTAGCCGCTGCCTGTTTCTTGGTTCGCTGCCATTGAGCTGTAATGTTCGTTTGTAGCAGATTATGTAGTGTTGCTCGAGCTTCCATTCTGGTTGACGGATTTTTGCCTATCACTTGTTGACATCTTCTTTTCCAAATAGTCCATAATGCGTATTGTCTCAATAGCCGGTAAATGCACTTATGGCTGGAGTGCCAACTTCTCGGGACTTCCGTTCCTGTAAGATGGACTTTTTTGCTCCTTGGGAATGCAAATTCCGATGTGTGATCCCACAGGGTTCGAGCTATAGACCAAACATACTCCACTTCCGGACATAGCAGAAGGCAATGAAGCAAGGTTTTGGGTACTCCTTTGGTGCACATGACGCAATTTTTCTCCCTGTCGTCTCTATTGTTCCTGCTTCGTTTTTCGTATAGCCAAGCGTTGACTGGTAGTGCGACATGAAATATGAGCCACTGCATACTTCGGACCTTATTCAGCGTGATGGTGTGCAAAATCGACCACGGCAATTTTCGTATTTGCTGTCTTGATATTCCCACCCTTTTTTCCCATCTCATTGCTAGAGGTTGATCCAACTGGGTTGATCTCGTTCTTAATCTATACCCCCATTTAGTTGTGTAGTGGAGTATGTTAACCCTCTTACCTATCCTTGAACCATTCTCTTTCATGTTCCAAGCCCAGTGTACTGGATCAATTTTCAGATATTGAATAGGTGTTGTGGGAGCAAAAATTGTGAATTCATCAGTCTCGATGACCCTGACTTTCGTGAGTAAACTTTTGTTGATGGCTATTGATACCCTTGTCTCTTTGTCCAATGGACTAACCATAAAGCCTGGGTTTAGGATTGGATACATGTCTGCCTCCAACCACTCATTGGTTGGGCCTACCTCCTGGTGAATGCGGAACGCTTGTTCTGGTTCCGAGCTTGAGGTCCAAGTTGCCCAATCACCCGTGCCCCATTTAAACGGGCTTTTCCATATTTGTGTCCTTTCTTGGGGTATGGAGTTAAGCACTTCATCCAAATTCTCAGTTAGCCTGTGACAACCCTTCATTCCTTCCCTCATTTCCCTCCCCGTTTTCCACCTATTATATGCCTGTGACCGTAGATGCTTTACCTGCCATACGCCATGCTCCAACCAATTCCCCCACTTGGCATCCTTTGCTGTAAGTGTTCTGGGTTTTCCCTGTGAGTCCTTCAACCACGGGTTACAAAATAAAGGCTGCCTGAGAACCTCCTCTGTCATTCTTGGATATCTGACTCTTGCCGGGAAAACCTCAGCCCATATCTTGA